TTCAACAAACTGGGGGTCCTCCTGGGCTCATGACTTCTAACTCAAAGAGCAGGTCTCAGCCATGGCTAGGAGGACCTTTGCACAAATCCAACTTGTGTGCCAATTGCATCTGTTCCTGGATCGAGAGGCACTGCTTGAGGTCAATCATACGTTAGTTACTTCCTGGTTGAATTACTGCAATGCAGTCTACATGGGGCTGCCCTTGAAAAACATTCAGAAGCTTCATTTGGTCCAGAATGCAGGACTGGGCACATTGAGGTTCCCCTGTGTGACACTGCGGTTACATTAGCTCCCATTTTGCTTTCAAGTGCAATTCAAGATGCTGGTCATCACCTTTAAAGTCCTGCATGACACAAGACTACCTGTCTCCAATGGTTTCTGCCTGTCCTACCAGTTTCAGCAGGGTGGGCAAACTCCAGATCCCTTCTATGAAACAGTGTTATCTAGCGGGACCAAGGAGAGACCCTAACTGTCATGACCCTCTGAAAGACCATGAAGACTTGGCTTTTCCCCCATGCATTAGGACCAAGATGCTAGTGGAGCCCAATTTGGGTGTTTCTGTGTTGTGAGTTAGATATGCAGTGTCCTAGTTATTGTATCATCATTAATTTTTTTTTTCATTTGGTGGAGAAGGATTGTATTATATTGTTTTCTTCTTGTCTTTTCTTCTTTTTAGCCACCCAGAGTTATTTATTTAAGGCCACATATATCCAGGATGCCTGAATCTCTGCTTTCTCCAAAGGATCAGGAATGGATTGCTTTAAAAATATAAATAAAAACTACATCAAAAATACAGGAACTAAGGAACAATGGCTCAAACACATGTATAGACCTTCGTCCCTAAAATAAGCACGTCAATAAATACAGACTTACCTGCAATGTTAGGGGCCAGCAGAACATAGATTTTCCAACACTTCCTACTTCTCCCAATATACAGCAGCTATTCTGTTGAATTTTTCTGACAGGTCTATTGAGCAGCAACTGACGAAAGTGGCTACCCTGGGGGTATGATTCCTACACCAAATGGACTCCTGGGTGGATCGTGTCCAGGGCTGTCCAGCCCACCCCAGCTACCCATCACAGAGCTGAACCAGGTGGACTTTGGCCTGATACCTGATATCCTGTGGTGCTCTAAATCAGCATCCATTATATACAACAGAAGTGTCATTTTTCTGCAACTTCTTTCTGTTAGTGAAGGGATATTAAATAAGGATAGGGGGAAAAAAGGATTGTTGATGTGGTGAGCAACACAAAATGCTTGCTGAGGCCTCTAGTTTGAGCTTTCTGTTTCTAGCAGCAAGATGCCACAGATCTGTGGCTGAGTTTCTGTGAAGCCTAGCATTTCTCCACAATGTGATTGTGCAAGTGTGGGCTTCCCTTGATAACTGTGTTGACTTCCCATTGAAGGCATTTTGATGGTCTGCTTCAAAGGAGAAGGTTCGTTTTAGAAGTAGAGATGCTCAAGAATAATTTCTGAAGAACAATAACTTCTGAGAAATGTTAATTTCCAAATCAAAGGTTGGAAGAAGATTCATCCCACTCAATATGGATGTCTTTGGCCTGGTCCCTATGCTAAGTAAGTTACCTTTTCCTCAAAACTCTTATTCTTTTCCCCAACTCTTGCTGTTTTTTTGCTTTTGTTTTTTGTTTCAATTTCTGCTCTCGTGCCATTCTTACTAAAATGAAAGCATTGTCTTGCCAAAAATCCAAAATTGCAGATAACCATGTATTTTTGTTACCCTTCTATGAGCAAAAGAATTTAGAAAGGTCTCCATGGTTTAGCCCACCTACTTTGAAGCTACGAAATTCATAGGTGAATTTCCTTTAGATTAAAAATTTATCTACTTTGGAATTTCAAGGCACCTAATGTTATAACCTTGGTAACAGCAGAAAACAGATTCCTTTCTCTTTTATACCTGGGATAATGTGAAATATGTAGTATGTGCAATTCCTATACGGTGTATCTTCAGATAAATACATCTGCAAAGGAAGACTGCAATTCCTAGGCACATGGTACAGAGAAGAAGACATGTTGAATTCAACTACTGATTTGCAGCAATGAATTGTTGATATGTGTTGTCTATCAATATTTGAATTCCTCTGGGAGGGGTGGGTTGAATTATTTTGGGAGGGGGGATTGTTATGGTTTGATTTGCTTTTTAAGCAATGGGCTTTTCAGCAATACAGCCAAAGTTTTTGGAGTTGTTCCATTTATAAGATAATTAGCAAACCATCTCTTTTTCTTCCCCCTCCCCCCTTTTTTCCTCTCTTTTTAACTTATGACGATAATTGCTACGTTTGAAGCTAAACTGTTGCCTCAACTTTGTTTTATGTGTGTCTAGTTTTCTTATTTAGTTGCAGTGCGTTGACATTCATTATTTAAAAAATAATCACATGACTAAGAACGTATTTCTAAGTAGATATATAAAGGACTGCAGTGTAAGTCAGTGCAACTGGTCATCCTTAATTAGAAGGTTCCTTATACATTTCTTATT